CTGCCTCCACCTCTCTCTACCTGCCTCCACCTCTCTCTACCTGCCTCTACCTGCCTCTACCTCTCTCTACCTGCCTCTACCTGCCTCCATCCACCTGTACTCCCCCTCCATCCACCTGTAACCACCCTCCCTCCACCTGTACTAAGGCCTGCCTCCACCTGCACAGGTACCTGGAGTTCACTCTCCAGCCGGACCTGATCCGGAAGCAGGACGCCACCTCCACCATCGTCTACATTGCCAACAACGTGGTTGGTCAGTCTCTGGCGTGGGACTTCGTCAGGGCCCGATGGTCGTACATCTTCTCCGAGTGAGTGTGGCTGATTTTCCGTCAATGGCTTCAGATTTCAGCCTTTTAAAGGCGGAGATTAAGATTTTATTTGCACATGAATAAAGATTAAGCTTCCGAACTGTGGTTAAAATAGGAAACTTTAAAATGGAAAAGTTTCCACGAGATGTTGGGATTCATTTACCTGAGCAGCTTTTTCTGTGTAAAGTCCACGTCGGACAGCTTTAACTCCTGATTATTTACAGCTCACAGAGTTTGTGTCACAGCGTCAGACTGAGTGTTTTTTTTTATTGGCTCTGTCCAACAGGTACGGCGGCGGCTCGTTCTCCTTCTCAAACCTCATCAACGGAGTCACAAAGCGCTTTTCCTCTGACTTTGAGCTTCAGCAGGTACGTTTTACTAAGCTGCTTTCACAAGCCTTTGGGACATTAAATGGAAAAGTGTTAAGCTGGGGGAGTTGTTTTGGGGGCGGTGGACACAGAGGTGGCTGGAATCCGGTTAGTAAGTGATGAAAAAGGGTGGATTACGCGCCGTGATGAGTGATTTAATAATTAAGCCCGCTGATGGTTTCTGGACTGTGAGAACAGCCATGAACAGCATTTGCCAGAATCAGGATCAGATCTCAAAGTTTAACTGAGTGCTTGTTTAGCTGCTGATAAGAGGAGCCACACCTCAAATTCTTCAGCTCAATGTTTTACTAACTTTTTTTGGGGGGGGGGATCCACTTTTAAAGATGAAATATCCCAAATTCTCAAGAGGAATTTGTGTGTTAGCAAACTTTGATGATTTTTTTTAATTTCCTGTCACCTTAAACCAGCCAATGATCCACTTATTCTTAGTAAAATACGCTTAGATAAAATGAAGTGAACCACTTAGTGAGTTTTTTTGCTGCATATAACTGACCTGTAGCTTCAGAAAACGTAGTAAAATAACCAGGCCCACAAATCAAAGCTTTTTCAAAGCTTTTTTTTCTCCGTTTTTTTCCTGTCTTAATATTTTAGGACAGAAAATGAATAAAAAGCAACTTGCTTTGAGCAGAAACGTGAAGAGGTGTGAGCTTAAACCGAACATGTTTGGCCTTTTACGAGCTGATTTTCCTTTCTCTGTGTCCCAGCTGCACCAGTTCAAGGCCGATAACTCTGAGGTCGGTTTCGGCTCGGGGACGCTGGCAGTGGATCAGTCCATCGAGAGAACCCAAGGCAACATGAAATGGATCGCACTGAACAAGCAAAACGTCCTGGATTGGTTCACAGCTGAAGCCAAACCCTAACAGGCACCCTGTTTACTCCCTGTTATTTAAAGGTGTCCTATTTTCTCTTAAATAAATCTCGTCATGAGGAAGATTTGGAGAATTAAGAAGAGCATTTATATGTTTATAGTTTAACATAAAAGAAGACATTTAATAGTTAATTATTTGTTCTAATTTTGGAGGAAAACTGAACTGTTTTTAAATGTTTTGTTAAATCATTTATTTCTTATTTTCTGGTTATGACACCTGACATCATGTCAGCCTGAACCAACATTTATTTTGACTTTTTTTGCTACATGTGAATGGAAGAAATTGTAAAGATGTTCTTGGTTATTTGAGGAAACTTTGAAAACAGCTTTAAGTATTTTGCACTTTTTGGGTAAAAATAACTCGTATTTGTAGATGCTGTTTTTCAAAAGATATAACTAGACTCCATTTTTGAAAACAATAAAGATATTTCTTATGAATAAGTGTCTTATTGTGCATTATCTTTGGCATAGCGTGTGTGTTGGTGACCTCATTTTATTCTAAGATAAACCAACAGAATGAATTCAGAAATTAAACACTGGGATGCAGATCAGGGAACCACAATTATCTTTAGAACTTCATAGGAAAAAAGCATCACTGTTTTTGTACTTTCCAAAAATAAGAGTTGTAAACGTTTGGAGAAAAAAGACCAAACCCACATTACTGGTTCAAAAATGTTATAGATATGGAGCCATACTATGAATATAAACTGGTTATGGAGATACAGTCTTCCCAAATAAACCTTATTATGATTGATATGACAAAGTTGTGCCTTAGGATATGAGAAAGATAGAGTATCAATATAATAAATGCTGGCTGTTTTATAGCTAAAATACTAGATCAATATCAATAATATGGACTGAAAAGGTTTTTATAAAATAACCAATGTATGAGCTAAATAGATATTTCTGACTATACAATACTCAGAAGTCATGGCTATATGAGCTAAAGGAAACATATGATTTATGAGGCACTCACAACAGAAAAATAACACATTTTTGTTGGAATCTCAGTAAACTAACATCTTTGGTTATTTTCAGTCGAATTAAGCGAAATAGTAACATTTGTGAAAATACTGAAGAAACAATAAACTTCATGTTGATAAAGGGAAACGCAAATGGGAACGTAAACAGCCTCATATAAGTTAATGAAACTATCACCCAGAATGATTTGTCACACATAAAATGTCAACACCATGTAAACATCTGAGTTTATATCACCGTCTGAAAAATACAAAAATCATAGAAAATGTTACAGTTGGAATAAGACAGGATGAATAAACTATCTATCCGATTTGGATGGGAATTCTGCGCATTTAAAAGCAGAAAACACAAGTTAAACTAGACAACTTCTCAGCAGAGGTTGGTCCAACCCCTGAGAAACAAAACCTGACCGGACCGCTTTATGACTCCGCGCGCACTAAAAACCCTGTCGCGCGCAGGTTCTGTGCACGGGGCAGATGCTTATCTCGGTCAGAGCGGCCAAACGCACCACAGACACTCCTCTGCGTCCCAGCCGGAGGAGGAAAAACAGCCCCAGCTCGGCCCGGAGCGCGATGACGAGGACCTGCAAGGTCAGCAAGCTGCGCGTGCTGTGCGCGCTCCTCGCGCTGCTGTCCGTGGCGACCATCGTCACCCTGTGGACCATCGCCCTGACCGGAGGGGGCCCCGAGGACCCCCCGGCCCCCTGGGACAGGTAGGACCCGAGTCAGGTCGCGTAAAACGTGTGGTGGAGATAGGGAGCGAAGAAGAAATAGTTCCAGCTTCTAACAGGAGAAGAAGAAAACAGCTCATTCCAGAGCACGACACTAATTAATGTTTAACCCTCCTGTTGTCTCCTTCCGAGCAGCCTTTGAGTCCTATCTGTGTTTTCTGAAAAGCAGCTGGATGCTTCCTGCTCTGCTGTTTAAACTCCGACATAAACCTGTCTGTGGTTACATATCAATATCTAAGCCTCTGATCCAAACTAGAGTCCAGAGAACTCAGAGATCTGCTGGTTTTCCTCCAGAATGAGGCTTCATTTCCTGGAAATGAGCTCTGTTCCAGCATCCAGAAATGAATGAAACTTTGTGCTGATGTGCTGAAAGCAGTCGACTAGAAGCTGGAACTCAGAGCTGTGGATCATTTTAGACTTCCTGCTTTAGAAAACAGCCACTTTGAGCTGGAGGACAACAGCTGGACTGTCTGCTGCCATTCAAAGCCCTGAAATGCTTCAGATCAGCATCCTGATCAGCTCTGACAGCAGCAGGTTTTCCATCCGGCTGTGAGCCTCTGACCAGAACCAGAGAGGAAACAACTCACACTTTCTGCTTTCTGCCTCCAGAACCAGCTCTGATTTCCACTAAATGAGCTCTGTTCCAGCAGATATTAACATTTTGGAGTCATTTTATACAGAATGTGGCTTTCTGTTCATCTCTATTTATCCTAAGTTTCCCTCATAACTTGTTTGCGTAAACCTGTTTTCTGTGTTAATCTTATTTCTCTGAGAAAAAAGCATCCTCTGGGGACTCATTACTGTCCTCATTTTGAACAGAAGTTGTCATTTGTGTGAAAATGACACTGCAGTAGTCACACCGGGAGACATTTGACAAGAAATACATAGTAAAAGAACAACTTTCTTTGCTTTTCGTTTGCATTTCTGTAAAAAAATTAATCTCCTCTGACTTTGACTTTCACCTGAAGAAGATACTAATTTTAAATATGCCTCCTGTTTGAGGAAAAAAATCGACTAATCGACAACAACAAAACCATAATTTGGGCAATTTTTACCTTTTATAATAAAACGTTCCTTGATAAGTCTTTGAGCAGTAAAGTATAAGGTGGGTGTGGGTTTGACAGTATTTTCTGTGGTGAATTTAATTACTAAACACATCTAAACTCAAAGTAAAGATGTCTTTTTCTCCATTTCTCCACTAAAATAGCATTATTTCTTTCTTTGTTTTATAAATGATACCCAAGGGTTGTATAGAAAAAACTAATCTGAGACCATTTTAAAGCTAAGATTTCAGCTTCTTGGCTTTAAAATGTCTCTGACGATTAGTTTACATCTAAATTTGTAGTTTAAAGTGGAATAAAAGTACCCTCTTCAGTTTAGAATAGTATGTTTAAAATATGTCAGAGTGATGAACTCCCCTCCTGCGTTCCTCTTTTGGACATCTTTATGTGAGCCTGTAAATTACCCTGAGTCAGCCATGCCTCTGCCCAACCACATCCCCCCCCCCCCCTCACGGGAAAACGCTCCTCTGACAGCTTTATCTGTGAATTTGACCTCAGGTCGTTGACACCGATCCGTCTTCGAGGAACAAACCCATCAGAATTTTCTCTGAATGTCGGCTTTATGCTGAACCCATTTGCTCTAACAAGGCGGCTTTATGCCCAAACTCTGCTCATTGTCGTGTCTCCTCAAGTCTGTTGGATGCAGTCTTGTTCATGTTCAGTGTTCTGGGTTCAGGCACTTCCTGTTTTGTTCTCACCCTTTATTTTCCCAGCTCGGTAATCGCCTGGCCTGCCCCTGATTTGGTCCACCTGTGTTCACTCCCCTTTTGTATAAACAGTCCCTCTCTCCCTTTTCTTGGCCGTTTCATTGATGTGTGTGTAAAGTTGGATTTCTCAGTTTTCGAGTATTTTTCATGTCTAGTGAGTCTAGTGTGAGTTTAGATTGTGGATCCTCTCTGAGAGTGCTTTTTGTAACACTCATGTATTCATTTACTATTAAAGGCTCTTCCATCTGAATTAAATGGTTTTGTTTCTGTATTTTAATATCTTACTGTACCTTTTAGATTAAACCTCCCTCAGGAGTTCATATCGAAATATCCTAAACAAGCCCTGTTTGATAGTGTCTGAGGTTTTAAATAAAGTTACATACATAAAATGCATTTAATCTTTAATTAATCTTTTATTTAAGCTCTGATCTTTCGTTTTTTTCCTCCCAGGTACCGCCTGCCCTCGGCTTTGGTCCCTGGACACTACAGCATCACTCTCTGGCCTCGGCTCAGACCTGACCCAGACTCTGGCCTCTACATTTTCACAGGTGAACAATGTCGTATTTTACACAAAGCGTCCTCTACTTTAAAAATGTAAATATGAACAGAGTAGAAACTTTGATTTTAAACCAAATTATTCAAACTTTTTATGCAACCAAATTATTAGAAACTCACAACATGAGCGTTAAAGAGCTGATTTATGGTACTTTTCTCTGGTAGCCGTTCTTTTTATTGGGGTTTAGGCCTAAAATAACTTTTTTTTCCTTCATGAATCCTCCAGGATGGTCCACTGTGCAGTTCGAGTGCCAGGATGCCACAGATCTGATCCTAATTCACTCCAACAAACTGAACTACACAGAAATGAACAACACACATGCTGCATTGCTCACAGCTGAAGGTTGGAACACACACCCCTCAGTTATTTATCACAGCAGAATCAAAAAAGAAAACTGTGCATGGTTAGTCAGTGATGAAACAAGTTGCTCACAGTCAGCCTTCGCTTTGGGAATCAATGAACTAGTTCAAAGATCAGTTCATTTAGATTTTTTCATGTTAGAAATTAGAATGAAAAGACAAGAAATAAGAGTCTTCCAATCAAATTGGTCATTTGAGACCTTCATTTTTATCACCACACCGAGACAAATGAGTCTTTCTCTGCTTTCAGCTTCTCTATGAGACAGAAAGAAGGGAAACTGTTGGTGTCAGGATCTGCACAATCAGAGCAAATTCATGATCTTTACTTGCAGAATTGTTTTAGTTCTGTTCAACATTTTTCAACATTTAATAAACATAGTCTTTTGACCTCACATGAAACTGAGCTTCTCTTCTTGGGCAGAACATTCTGCCTATTTGTACAGATTTTTAAAAAATGTATTCATTCATTTATTTGCGTATTTTATTTTAATCTAGGGAGGGCTAAGGCCTGTTAGTCCCATCATGAATGATCCAAAGACTGTAGAATAAGGTTAGATTTGTACAGAACAGCAGTTTGCCTAAAGAAATCCGACTGTTTGCAGATGATGTTTGTGTCTTCCTTTAAGAACAGAATTTAGCTTGTTTTTTCTCCTTTCCTAGGAGGTGCATATGCTCCCAGCATAAAGTCCACCTGGTTCCAGCCAGAGACTCAGTATTTGGTCATCCAGCTGAACGGGAAGCTGACGTCCGGGCAGAAGTACCAGCTCTACACCGAGTTCAGGGGAGAGCTCGCGGACGACCTGGCAGGATTCTACAGGAGTGAATACGAGGAAGATGGAGTCATAAAGTAAGCCCTCTGTTCTGTGTTTGGGTTTCCAGTTGTTTTGTAAGCTGGTATAAAAAAAGGTTCCATCTTTCACAGGATTGTTGCCACCTCTCAGATGCATCCGACTCATGCCAGGAAAACCTTCCCCTGCTTCGATGAGCCAGCCATGAAAGCCATTTTTAACGTGACCCTCATCCACCCGCCGGGAACTGTTGCCCTGTCCAACGGGATGGAAGCAGGTATCCGAAAAAAGAGCAGAAATTAAACATGTCTCCTTCGATAATTTAATTGGTGCATTATTAGCAGAGGGATGTACAGTGGGGGAAATAAGTATTTGACCCCTTGCTGATTTTGCAGGTTTGCCCACTTACAAAGAATGCAACGATCTATAACTTTAATCATATGTACATTCTAACAGTGAAAGACAGAATCCCAAAGAAAATTCCAGAAAATCACATCATATGAATTTATAAAAATTGATAACCATCTGATGAGGAAAAATAAGCATTCTTTGTAAGTGGGCAAACCTGCAAAATCAGCAAAGGGTCAAATACTTATTTCCCCCACTGTATATATTGAGGTACCAATATATTTTAATGGTTATTTTGATTTGTATTTGTAAAAACTACACAAACCTGATGGGATCTTACACATCTGTGCCCCCGCTCTGCCTCCAGATGTTGAAAATATCACTATTGATGGAGAAAATGTGGTGATGACAAAGTTTGAACCCACCCCGAAGATGTCCAGCTACCTGCTGGCTGTGGTTGTGTCCGACTACGCCCGCCTGCGCTCCATGCAGGGAGGCACTCTGGTCTGATCCGAGTCCCCTTCACATCTCATCTCCTGAGGCTGATGTCTGCGCTGTCGCCATGTTTGTTCATCCTGTGTGTGTTTGCCATGCCCGGTGAGTTCAGGTGCGGATCTGGGCCCGGAGGAAGGCCGTGGAGCAGGGACAGGGAGGCTACGCCCTCAATGTGACCGGACCCATACTGGACTTCTTCCAGTCCTACTATAACATCTCCTACCCTCTGAGGAAGTCAGGCAAGATGCTGCTTATTGTTCAAAACTAGGAGACAAAAGAACCCAAAACTGATCGCTTTGTATCTTTATTATCATGTAAAGCAGTTTTGTACATGAACAAGTTGAAATATTAGAACTCCAGTAAAGTAAAAAACTGTTAAACTGCTGATTTGCTGACTGAACTGTCAGGAATGTCAGAAATATATAAAACAGATTTAGATACTATCCAGCTTCTCAATTAAGAAAACTAAATGATCAGTTTCAATAATCCTTAATAAGACTTATCATTAAGTCTGTCCTAACTACATTTCCTGCCCCTCCCCTATTCTCTGAGGTCTGTTTGACTGATTATGAAGAAGTAGGTTAAAAATGATCACCAAATGTTCCAGTTTCTCCTTGTTGTTGAACTTGTTTCCAACACTGTAAAACATTTTTTACACTTGTTTTTATAATATCGGTAACAATAGAGCTCAATTACTGAAAATTAGAGCTGATTCTGGAGTAAAAACAGCAGGATTTCTGAATAATTTTGACTGTAATTTGGATCAGAGGCTCATTTGTAAAGTGTATTATGACAGACGGATTAAAAGTAGCAGTCTAACCACATACCTACTCATCTTTCCCTTTTCTAATGAGCTGAAACTAAACACCCTAAAGCTTTGCTCGGCCCTCCAGCAGACTCCTGATGTCACAGCTGTGTATTGTAGGCTGTTGGTCTTTGTCCTCGTGAGTCGTTTTGAGTAAAAACATCTGCTAACGGCAGGAATGTGAATGTTAGGGTTAGTGGGGGGTTGTACCGTGCGTTTCATGAGGCCCAGAGGGATGGATGGAGGAAAGTCTCCCGTTGGCTCCCCACAGATCAGATCGCCCTGCCGGACTTTTACTTCGGCGCCATGGAGAACTGGGGTCTGGTGACCTACAGAGAAACCAACCTCCTGTACGACCCCGAGAACTCCTCCAATGGAGACAAGGAACGAGTGGCCACCATCATCGCCCACGAGCTGGCTCACATGGTGAGTTTCTACCCTGAGATGATGAGCTCGATAAGGAGCGGGCGGCCTGATGGTGGCCTGATGGTGGCCTGATGGTGGCCTGATGGCGGCCTTTCTGCAGTGGTTTGGGAACCTGGTGACCCTACGCTGGTGGAACGAGGTGTGGCTCAACGAGGGCTTTGCTTCCTACGTGTCCTACCTGGGAGCCGACCACGCCGAGCCCAGCTGGAACGTGGTGAGGTCGGGTGTGGACGTCACGGTGTGAGCCACCCGCGTCCTGTTCTCACGTGGTCTGAGAACTTGGAGCTTCTGTTTGCCGCAGAAAGACCTGATCGTTCTGGAGGACGTGCACCGAGTGTTCGCGGTGGACGCCCTGAGCTCCTCCCATCCGCTGACCTCTGCGGAGGACAGCATCGTCCTGCCCGGGCAGATCACCGAGCAGTTTGACACCATCTCCTACAGCAAGGTGCACACAGCAATGTCAGAACAGCAGATTCATGTCATGAAAGTGAGAGAAATGTGAGCTCCACTGGACTTTTTATGCCTGTTAGGGCCATTCTCGGTTATTTCAGAATCACTGTGTCAGAAAAGCTGATTTTTTTTATCCTCCTCATGAGCAATGAAACAGAATTCATGTTTTTATGTGAGACTAAACATTGAAACTTAATTTTAATCTGATAATTATGAAAAATAACTATCAGTAAACAACTTGTGGAACACTGAAAATGAAATAAAATTAAATATATAAAACAATATGAATTTAATAAAATCTAATTACCAAAAATAAGTTGATATTAAATAGAATTTAGGTTAAAATAAAATGAAAACCAGCAAGAATTTAAAACAGTTGCATGAATTTGTTAATTAAATATTTACTTTAATAGTAAATAAATTGGTTGGACACATTTTGAAAATGGCAAAACTTGATTTAACAAAAGTAAGTAGGAAATATGAATAAAATATGGATAATTTATACTAATATTCGCTACTAAAAAAGCTTGAAGCCTTCTTCAAAAAACATCAACACTCCCAGCAGCCCTCAGGTTTTCAGGGACGCCGTTCGGATAAACTAAAAGATGTTCCTCCTCAAGCTTCAAAAACTAAACAGACATTTAAAATCAGCCCAGAAATGCACAGGAAGCCAAAGCAGAGATGAGAAATATGTGGCTCAGCATCTCTAACCCAGTCTTTGTTTCCATTGTGAGACATGAAAGGTGAATTTTGATCAAAATATATCTGGGATGAGTTAAGAATGAGTGATTTCCTGTGTCTGTGCTCTTTCAGGGCGCCGCTGTGCTCAGGATGCTGTCTGACTTCCTGTCGGAGTCGGTCTTCAGGCAGGGCCTCTGCGTACGTCCCTCTGGAGCAAACCGCTGCATCACTAATCCTCTAGTCTCAAACACTTGTCATAAATACAGATTTTACCCCCCGGCAGGCTTACCTCCGACACTTTGAATACAGCAACACCGTCGGGAGCGACTTGTGGAAACATCTACAAACGGTGAGCTCCAACCCACATGCAGCAGAATTTCCCACTTCATTCACTCCTGGTGAATAAAGTGTGATTAATGAATTATTATCACTCATAAATTAAAGGCAGAAAGCTTTGAAAAGTCCCGCATAAGCTATTAATGAATCACCAGCCTCTTTAGAATAGTTATGTCCAGATTTAAGGTGTTCAATTAATTCTGTATGTTGAGATAAGTCCTGGATATTAGTGGTTGGAAATAAAGCTACAACCTTCCTGCTTCGTCCTGCAAAGAGGAAGAGAAAACAGGAGAAAGCTGCTGCTTTTCATTTCCCGAACATGAATCCTCAGGCGGTGAAGGACAGCAACGTTTCTCTGCCCCGACCAGTTGGCGACATCATGAACCGCTGGGTGCTTCAGATGGGCTTCCCGGTGGTCACCATAGACACAAGCAAGGGGATGGTTTCCCAGGACCACTTCCTGCTGGATCCGGAGTCCAATGTCACGGCCGAGTCGCCTTACAAGTACACACTCACTTTACACACTTTACAGCTAACGGTCAGTCCAGCCCATGCTTTCAAAAGTTAGTCCCCCAGCTGGGAAACCCAACAGGGTTTCACCTATGATCTAGTGCCCATCCTGAACATGGACATCACCTGAGCCTGAGCTAAATGAGCTAAATGAGCTAACTGAGCTAAGTGAGCTAACTGAGCTAACGCAGAGCATGTGGTCTGCTGCAGGTACGAGTGGGTGGTTCCCGTGCGCTGGATGAAGGATGGCCACGTGCACGAGGACATCTGGTGGCTGGAGCACAAAGAAGGTGTGGAGAGGTTAGACAGGAAGCCCAGAACTACACGAGGGAAGTGTTTCTGATCTGCTCTGTCCCCTCAGCTGAGAACTTGGACATGAGGAGCAGGGGCTCGTGGGTTCTGGCCAACGTTAACATCACCGGGTACTACCGGGTCAACTACGACCTGGGGAACTGGGAGCGGCTGCTCGCTCAGCTCAGCTCAGCCCATCAGGTGACCCAGCGGGCTTCTCTTTGCCTCTCTGATCGCTTAACGTTGGGGACTGACGGTTTGTGTTTGGACCCAGGTGATACCCGTCATCAACAGAGCTCAGCTGGTGGACGATGCCTTCAACCTGGCCAGGTGGGTCACCAGCCCGTTCTGGACCCTCTGAGAGGAGGAAGTGGTTCTGTTAACAGCCATTTTAAATTGGTAACATTTAAAGGGGCTGCTGGGAGGGCCTGGTGGAGTCCTCTGTTAGGGTTAAATCTTTAGTATTCAGTATTAATTAACTTACAATAATCTTATTAAACTAATTTCATTTAGTATCAATGACTTTAGTGTTCGGTTAAATCTTTAGTATTTGTTGTTTTCTCCTCTCTGCAGAGCTCAGATAGTCTCCACAACCTTGGCCCTGAGGACCACCTCCTACCTGGGGAAGGAGACGGAGTTCATGCCGTGGCAGTCTGCGCTAGACAACCTTCACTATTACGAGCTGATGCTGGATAGAACCGAGGTCTATGGGCCCATGCAGGTGCAGCCATCACACACTGGCTTCTGCCATCCTCAGCAGATGAACACAGGTCCTCTCCTCACCTCTCTGTGACTCCTCAGGACTACATCAGGAAGCAGGTGACGCCCCTCTTTCTGCACTTCAAGAACATGACGTCAGACTGGACCCGTGTTCCTGAGAGGCACACTGACCAGTGAGCGCACCCAACACACTCCACTCTTTAGCTCATCCGCTGCATGTAGGAAGTCAGAGCCAAAAGCAGCGATGAAGGCCAGCTAAAGGTTTAATTAAGGTGCTGAAAAAGGCCAGAGCTACAGTTTAGAAGGACTAATACTAACAGAAACACGTGAGGCAACGGCTCAGGGTCTGCAGACAACAAAGCAATGATCTTTAGAATCAGAAAAAGGTCTAAAAACCGTGGTGAAAGCTCCAGAAAAGGACAGATTTGAAACCAAAGAACAAAAGAAACATTCCCCTTGAGGACATCGAGGGGTTGAAACTGAAAATCAGAACCCTGCAACCCATTAAAGTAACACACAGAATAACTGAATAACTCCTAATAAGAGGCAATGAAAAGAGAATCAAAGACAGGAAACAACCACAGATCATGCTCTGATAGCATTTCCATCTCAGTTAAACAGATCTGAATGGACAGTGGCAGTCAGGCTCTGCCTTCTGATTGGACGAGGGCATGTTAGCGTGATTCTATGGGAGGAAAGGATTCAAACCAGGGCTCAGTCAAACAAACAGACCAATGGGAGCAGGACATGCTGTCATGTGACCTGAGAAAGGAGAGGTTACTGTATATGATCCATCTAAATGGGGAGTTCTTTGGAAAATCACAGAATAATCTTTTTTTTTTTTTAGTTGTGTAAATGAAGGGAAATCCTTGTTGTGTTCAAAGAGCTCAGAAATCTCAGCTTTTCCACATGGAGCCATAATGTGTCAGAGCTTTGCTCTGCTTCACTCCAGCAGCCCCAATCTCTGCACAGATCACGTCCATATGCTGCTTTTTGGTTTCAGGCAACTCTGGGACGGTTTAGATGACTCGGCAGCTCTTCCTGCTGTAACAGGTGTGCCTCCCTCTGCAGGTATAACCAAAGGAACGCGCTTCGGACGGCCTGTCGGACCGAACTAGCAGAATGCCAGAACCTGACCACCCTGTGGTTCAGGCAGTGGATGGACGCGCCTCAGCACAATCCGTGGGTCTGATTTATGAACCCTCTGACCGGTTCTCCCACAGCTGGGACAGTGAGGGCCTAAACTGAGCTGCTCTCTCCTCAGCATCCACCCCAACCTGCGCTCGGCGGCGTACTGCAGCGCCGTGGCGGCGGGCGGCCAAGCCGAGTGGGAGTTCGGGTGGTCGCAGTTCAAGAAGGCCTCAGTCGCCAGCGAGGCCAGCATGCTCATGTTAGCCCTGGCCTGCACTGAAGATACAACGCTGCTGAACAGGTCCAACCACATATCAACATCTGAGCCTCTGATCCAAACCAGAGTCCAGAGAACTCAGAGTTCTAATGGTTTTCCTCCAGAATGAGGCTTCATTTCCTGGAGATTAGCTCTGTTCCAACATCCAGAAATGAATGAAACTTTGTGCTGATGTGCTGAAAGCAGTCGACTAAAAGCTGGAACTCAGAGCTGTGGATCATTTTAGACTTCCTGCTTCAGAAAACAGCCACTTTGAGCTGGAAGACAACAGCTGGACTGTTTGCTGCCATTCAAAGCCCTGAAATACTTCAGATCAGCATCCTGATCAGCTCTGACAGCAGCAGGTTTTCCACCCAGCTGTGAGCCTCTGACCAGAACCAGAGAGGAAACAACTCACACTTTCTGATTTCTGCCTCCAGAATCAGCTCTGATTTCCACTAAAAGAGCTCCATTATAGCAGATATTATAGAGAGAAGTGGAAACATGTGTTCAGGAGCTGGAAAACAGCTTTACAGAGGCAGAAACTCAGATATTTGGGGGTCGATTTAAACTCAGCCGTGGGTTAAACCTCCTACTGTCTCTGCCTTCACAGGTATCTGGGGTTCACCTTGAACTCCAGCCTGATCCGCAAGCAGGACGCTACCGCCGTCATCACCTCGGTGGCCGCCACCCGGGCGGGGCACAGTGTGGCGTGGGCCTTCCTCAGGGAGCAGTGGGAGTACCTGTTCACACAGTGAGCCTCACTCATCCACCTGGTGGGGTCACCTGCTCCAGCCGGGTTCAACAGCCTCTGCTCTTGTCCCAGATATGGCGTGGGCTCCTTCTCCTTCGCCTCTCTGATCAGTGGCGTGGCGGCCAGGTTCTCCACAGCGGCCGAGCTGCAGCAGGTAGGCCCGGTTATCTCCTCCACGGTTTTGGGGCCGCCCACCCGGGCTCTGAGCCGCTCACCGTCTCTTCTCCTGCAGCTGGAGGACTTTGTGGAGGAGCACCAAGCGGCCGGCTTCGGCTCGGCGGCGCTGGCCGTGGAACAGGCCCTGGAGCGGACCAAAGCAAACATCAAGTGGGTGGAGCAGAACAAACTGGAGGTTCTGGACTGGTTAAGCAGCCGGACCGGACCTGATAGGAGCTAACTGACCCGGCTGGACATGGAGGCAGCATCCTTGTGGGTTTTTCTTTGAATGTGGGCAAACATCTCCTTTGTGTTTGTGTTCTGATGACAAACCCAAACTGCTCTCAGAGGAACCATCGACCAAGAGAAAAGGCAGCTGGACTTCCAGAACCAATGAATCCTCCTCTGTTTTACTCAAAAAGAGCCAAATCACAACAAACATCTCAGAACACTTAAAAGATTTGGTCCAGTTCGTGTCCAGTTCCTTTAAAAAATTCACAATTCAAGACATTTTTGCTCAGAAAACTCCAAGTTAGTCCAATTTATTCAGAACCAATTCGCAAAGAAGTTTCCTCTCTGGGTAAACCAACAGATTCTGCTCTCTGATCTAATCCCTGTGCGGATCATGGTTCAGAACCAGCAGAGGTGCATGATGGGAGCTGCCCTTACTGAAGCTCTGGGGTTGTTCTGAGGTCCAAATAAGCAGGAGGAGTCATGTGACTGCACACATTGTGATTCTTTTTGTCAGCAACCTGTTTTGCAGCTTCAGAATTAAAATGACCTGAAACCACTAAATATGTGTTGAGATTCATCTCAACTTGTGAACTTGTCTTTTGTTTCTTTTAATCATATCTAATACATGCAGTTCTCTACATCCATTATGAGAATTTCGCACAGAAATGGTGTCAAACAACACACTGGTTAAAGGTCAGTGTCGGGGGGGGCTGAGGTGGTCCAGCTGGGTCGTGGGGGGGTTCGTCAGTTTGGGAGACCTGTCTGTCATCAGGTCTGTGGTCAACATTGACACACTGATGCTGATGACTCCTGAGCTGCTCCAATTCCAGGAGTGTGTCTGTACCTATTGGTTCAGCCAAGATCACCTGAGGCGTGTGGCTGTGTGTGGTTTTTATTCCTTTAGGGGGCTGGAACAACAATCTCTCTGCCGGTCAGTTTCAGGCCATCGTCCGGAATCGGATGGTGTGTTGTGGTGTCCCACCAAGTGGGCTAGGATGACTCGGTGTCTCTGTCTTGTTAGAATTGAGTTATAGTTACTATGCTATAACATAATCCATGTAAATCAGTGGTTGCTTTATTCCTTTTAGAACAATAATTTTGTGTTAAACTCTCTGGCTGTGTCCACAGATTCTCTTTTTCTCTCTCTGTAGTGGATGCACATCTTTCGGTACACACACACTCACACACACCCACTTCGATACCACATTCCAATATCATCTGCATCAATTATAAGCTGGCCTGTTTATGTCAGAGGTAATTGGCCAGTAACACTCGATTGTGTTCAGTCCTTTTGAAGGGGCCCAGTCCAGAAGATAAATGTCCATCACACCCGGAGTTGGGGGCTCTTGCCGGCTGAGACCCTCAGGGAGCTTTGTCTGTGAGAGCCCAGTGATGATTACTTTACCTGTGTCCAATAAATGTATTTGTACTCTTGATATAGTCTGGTTTATCCTCAGGCTTCCAACTAATGAATTGGGCTAACACTGGCCTGTAAACATCTCTCTGCCCCCTGCTGCCATCTGCTGGCCTCTGCTGCCCCCCAGCTGGCCTCTGCTGCCCCCTGCTGGCCACAGGTGCCCCTTGCTGCCATCTGCTGGCCTCTGCTGCCCCCCAGCTGCCCTCTGCTGCCCCCTGCTGGCCCCAGCTGCCCTCCATCCTGGATTTTCTGCCACTTGAGCTGCCCTGAGAGTCCTGCTGAGGTTTATAAGCAAGCACAAGAGCCCTTTCAGTTCACAACCAGCTTCTCTCCTATGGCAATAATGACCCTGAACCCTCAAAAACAAAATGTTCCACCCTAAAATGTGCAATATTTACAGTTTTCTACACTACAATGTACAATATCTATACACATATATTTGTATAAATTTATTTCTGAGATGTACATACACTGAGGACTATGGACTTTGCTCCTCACACTGTATAGATTATGTTTTTGCTAATTGATAGATTGATATATCTGCAGGGGGGTTGCATGCAAGGCTTTATTGAACTGGATGGATCTAGATAGCGCTTGTTAGACCGGGGTGACCTGTCCCACTGTCAGAGTGGGTTGGTTCTTTCATTGAAAGAACAAAGTTCACATCTGGAAGAGACAGGATCAACAACTGAGTGGCACTTTAACTGTAAAGCACCTCTCTCTCACCATCACAGCCATGTTTGTTACCGTGCTTCTGTTGTGGCTCTGTGTTTGGTTCGTCATCCTCCAGTTCAAAACCAGGAGGCCCAAGAACTTCCCACCAGGACCCCCCGCCCTGCCGTTAGTGGGGAACCTTTTGCACCTGCACCTGGAGAACCCCCTGAAGGACTTTGAAAGGGTGAGAAAAGCTGTGATCTAATATTTCAGCATCTGTTTCGGCTGATAAAATGTCCTGATAAAATGTCCTGATAAAGTGTAGAAACACTAGGATAGTATTCTTTTTTAGAAGTGAAAACCAAATTTTGATGACACACTTTTTTACAGTGAATGAACCACGTGGGCTTTAAAATGAAACATTGATTAAAGGCAACATGAATCTGCCCACTGGAAACCTACAAAAACACCTTATTACTTTGACTGTGATTGCATAACAGGTTTAGAGTTGACAGCCTGCATACTTTAAATAGGCCTGGCCTGTTTTTTTTTCAGTTTTACTGCAATATTGTTGAATCAATATTGGGCACAGTTCCACCAAAAACAAGTATTTTTTGGGTTATATTACATGGTATCAGTGCAGACTCCACGGGGTTGCCTCTCTGCACACTTGGAGTGTGTCCAAGCAGCACCACAGGTTTACAGTGACACAGGTGGCTGATAAGATGATAACATACATTTCAGAGTTCTTGTTTGCAATGACCCTTCTGCACCACTTCATGGAGACTTACAGCTGTGAACCGGTGGAGAGGACTCCTGCGCCAGCTTTACATTTAGTTTGTTTTGGGCTTGCAGGTTGTCTCTGTGAGTGCATTCACAGTCTTTTAGTAGGTTGTGGACACAAGAATTCATACTGAAGTGAACTTGGACCCACCAACTAACCAATCATAAACCCGAAAAAGTCCACAAATGCACAAAGAAAGCATGCATACCTACCTACCTACCTACCTACCTACCTACCTACATACATACATACATACATACCTACCCACCTACCCACCTACCCACCTACCTACCTACCCACCTACCTACCTACCAACCAACCTACCAACCAACCAACCAACCAACCAACCAACCAACCAACCAACAAACAACTGTCTGTCTGAAACTTTAATCTTATTTGGTTCCAGCTGAGCAGATCTTATGGGGATGTCTACAGTTTGTATCTGGGGTCCAAACCAGCCGTGGTCATCAACGGGCTGAAGGCCATTAAGGAGGCCATTGTGACCAAAGCTGCTGACTTTTCAGGACGACCCCAGGACATCCTTGTCAGTGATGTGACCCAGCGAAAAGGTACACGCCTTGTCAGAAAAACCTCTCTTAAGTTTTACGAACCTGTGTCGGAAACTTGAATGTTTGCCCTCTTATGGCCCTGATGCAATGCACATTAACTGGTCAACAACCAGCAGTAGTACAATGGAAAACATAAATGCTGGAGTCTAAAACCAGCTGAAACCTACAGTAGAAACCTCCTGATAACCCCAACTCTGAAACCTTTTTCGCTGTACACCTGAAGGAGTGATCATGGCAGAGTACGGCTCCAGCTGGAGGGACCATCGGCGCTTTGCTCTGACCACTCTGAGGAACTTCGGTCTAGGGAAGAACTCAATGGAGGACAGGATCAAGGAGGAGATACGCCACACTGTCCAAACACTGGAAAACAGCATCGGTGAGCAATCTGTGGGCCAACAGGCCTCTAGGGGGCAGCACCTCATGTTTGAACATAGTTTTCTCCTCCAGGTAAAACTATGAGTCCTCAGGTGATGTTTCACAATGCTGCCTCCAATATCATCTGCCTGGTTCTGTTTGGGAGACGCTACGAGTACCAAGACGAGACCATCAAGGTTATTGTTCGAGGTTTCACCGACATTACGAGGATGGCCAATGGACCCTGGGCCGTGGTGAGCCCAAGCTTTTTCATCTAGTCAGTTCCTGTCTTTAGTTAACAATTCAGTGTTCCAGCACTGAAAGAGCAGAAGGCACCAATGATTAATCTGTCATTCCAGATATACGACTCCTTCCCCAAAATCAGGAACCTGCCACTACCATTCAAGGAGACCTTTAGGAAATACGAGGTACTCTCAAAATGATCAATGTTGTTTTCCTCAGATGTAATCCAGTTAACAGCAGACTTTGCACACACATGTCGGTGTTGGCTGAGAGGTAGAAAACCAGGGAAAACACACAAAGTTTACCATTGAGAAGCACTCTTCCTGACACTGTGTGGTTTTTTCAGTCTCCAATGTGAGCCCAGAGGTTTCAGTGGTTCTGGAAAACACTTTTCAGAAGCCTGAAGAGCTTTTAAAACCATTTAGCTTCTCAATGAGGAGATTTATGTGGTTCTGGTGTTGTGTTTCCCTTCTGTGTGTTTGTCTTTAGACTTGTAAGGAGATTATAATTGGTTTGGTGGAGGAGCGCAAGAAGACCCGAGTCCCTGGAGAGCCACGGCACTTTGTGGACTGCTATTTGGATGAACTGGAAAAGGTTTGTGAGCAGAACAACTGGGCAGCAGCTCACACCTCCAACCTGCCCTGTGTGGGCTGTGTTTCAGCTTCCTGAACCAGTTCAGTCATCACCATCCTGCTCTCAGACAGAAAGTGAACACAAATCCTGCCCCTCTGACAAAACTGCACCTTCATCATTGACTTTTTATCCACTCAGAGAGGCGAAGATGGTGTATTTTCTGAGGATCAGCTCATAATAAACTCTCTGGATCTTCACTTTGCTGGGACCGACACCACCTCCAACACCCTGCTGACTGCTCTTCTTTACCTGATGAACTACCCTCATGTCCAAGGCAAGTCTTTACCCGAAATCTTACTTTTTGGGTCTTTTCCCAAAGCTTCTGGCAGTGTTTCTCCACTACTAGTCTGAGCTTTGTTCACGTGTCAGCCAGACTCCCCACAGTGGATTTCATAGTGGAAAACAGGTTGTAGTGGCTAAATACCTTACTTCAAAATTTTAACCTTTTCTTTGCCACTCTTGCAGGACGTGAAGGTTTTGACTTGTTCAGCTTGGTTAAAAAACGTACGCGGGGCCGCAGCGTAGCCTAATGGTTACAGCGGGTGGACCATGTGTGAGGACCTCCTCATAAGCGGGCGGCCTGGGTTCAAGTTTGGCCCACGGCCCTTTCCCGCAGGTCTCCCCCTCTCCATCTCTGCCCCCTTTCCTGTCAAGCTACTGTCATTAAAGGCCACTAAAGCCAACAAAATCTTAAAAAAAACACGAACCGATGTAAAAAATTACTTGTTTATTATGAATGTAAACTTACAAAAATTTGCCAACATAAACCAAAATATTAACTTTACGCATAAACCAAAACTTAAACCTTACAGTAAGTATAAACCAAAATGGGAACCTTACGGTAAAAAAACTATTGCTCCTCGCCCTGCTCCATTACCTTTCTTACGTACTCTTACGCAAAACTGCACACCTTTTGTCACTTTAACACAGGACATTAAAGGAGCTTCATTAAATGATAAATCAAAATACCAAAGGTAGAAAACAATACAAAATAAAACCAAATGCCTATTAATAAAATAAACAGTATACATTCCTCATAACTTTTTTTTTTCACTTTTTCACTTTTGTTGGCTCTAGTCCTTTAATGACAGTAGCTTGACAGGAAAGGGGGCAGAGATAGAGAGGGGGAGACCTGCGGGAAAGGGCCATGGGCTGGATTCGAACCCAGGCCGCCCGCTTGCGAGCAGAGGCTCTGCATATGGGCCGCCCGCTCTAACCATTAGGCTACGGCTGCGGCCCGTAAACACAATTTCTATTTGGCTCTAACACAGGTGGTTAAACACAAAAGAGAACAGGCGGACCCCTCAGATGCCTTAAAAACCTGGATATCTTCAAGTGAAAACGAATTTTTTCTGGCCTTAGATCAGAATATAATGGATTAGAGTATATTAGACTAGATGGATTACATCAGATTAGACTAGGATTAGGTCCCTCCAGTGTGTTTCTGGGTCCTCCTCTGGGTGTCCTCCTGGTGGGACGTGTCCAGAACCAGGGAGGCGTCCTGATCAGATACCCAAGCAACCTCAGATGGCTTGTCTCCACCTGGAGGAGTATCAGCTCTACTCTGAGATCCTATATTAGAGGGAGCCTGTACTCTCTCTAAGAGAGTAGACGAAACCCATTTTGGCTCCTTGTATCGGCAGTCTCGCTCTTTTGGTCACTACCCAAAACTCATGACAATAGATGACGGTAGAAATGTAGATAGAAAGGTAGAAAGCTTTAGTGGCAACGATGCACTGGACTTCCCCTCTGACCTGGAGAAGCAGCTCTACCCTTTTCTGGTGCGAGACCATGACCTCGGATTTGGAGGCACCGATCCTCTTGGTGGCCACTTCGCACTTGACAAGCAACCATTTGGCTTTTTTCCCTCAGAGCGCTGTCAGCAGGAGATCGATGAAGTGCTGGAGGGGAAAGAGGAGCCCAGCTTTGAGGACAGGCTCAGCATGCCCTACATGCAGGTACTGGTCCCCATCAGAGGTCTATTGACTTTAACCCTGTAGAGGAAGTGGACGGCCACTGCTCCGCTGTTTCTGGGCTCAGTTGTATCATACGCCAACTGAAAGCTCTCTGCATGCAGGCTGTGATCCACGAGGTGCAGAGGGTCGCCAACACTGTTCCTCTCAGCGTCTTTCACTGCACAACTAAGGACACAGAGCTCATGGGGTACTCCATTCCCAAGGTGAGAAGAAAAGAGAAACCAGAGCAGAGTCTGTAAAGCTCTTTACTCACCTGCTTTCTGTTCAGGGCACATTGATCATAGAGAACCTGAGCTCAGTGCTGAAGGAGGAGGGCCAGTGGAAGTTCCCTCATGAGTTCAACCCTGAAAACTTCCTGAATGACCAGGGAGAGTTCGTCAAACCAGAGGCCTTCATGCCTTTTTCTGCAGGTACTCAGAGGCTGTCCCACTGGAGCCCCCCCACAGAGACAGGAGAACCAAACCAGGCTTAATCCTCTGCTCTTTCTCAGGTCCTCGGATGTGTCTGGGAGAGGGCCTGGCTCGGATGGAGCTGTTCCTCATCACGGTGACCCTGCTGAGGAGGTTTAAGTTCACCTGGCCGGAGGATGCTGGAGAACCCGACTTCACTCCAGTCTATGGCATCACTCTGACCCCTAAACCTTATCGCATGAAGGTCCATCTGAGGGCGGCGGAGTGAGCTGCTGGGGGACTGCCAACAGAACCATCTTAATGCAAAAATTTTCTGACCTTATCCAACAAAGAAGAAAACTTAAATCCTGTGCTCTTTTATTTGGTTGTCAAAAGAGAAATTATTAAATTTTAATACAAGAGATATTACATTTGTCTTCTTTCAAACCTTGACCAAAAATACACCCACCCACCCCCTCTTGGGGTTCTCCTCTGGGTGTCCTCCTGGTGGGACGTGTCCAGAACCAGGGAGGTGTCCTGATCAGATGCCTGACGACCTCAGCAGGCTTGTCTCGACTTGGAGGAGCATTAGCTCTACTCTGAGCCCCTATCTTAGAGCGAGCCTGGACGTCCTCTAAGCCCGGACTCTCTCTAAGATCAGCTCCTTATACCGGCAACCTCGCTCTTTTGGTCACTACCCAAAGCTCGTGACCAAAGATGAGGGTAGAAATGTAGATCGATTGGTAAATAGAAAGCTAAAAAGCTTCAGTGCCAAAGATGCACTGATCAGCCTATCGACCTCCGTTCCTGAACAAGAGCCTGATATATTCTTGAACTCCTCCGCCTGGAGAAGGACATCCCCCCTGACCTGGAGAAGCAGCTCTACCCTATTCTGGTGCGAGACCATGGCCTCGGATTTGGTGGCACTTTGGTTCAATGAATGAACCCTGTGGGCAACATGAATCTGCCCACTGGAAATCTACAAAAACACCTTATCACTTTGACTGTGTGTTTGTTTAACATGTCGGTTTACAGTTGACTGTTTGCGCACTTGGAATGTTTCCAGCCTTTATTTTAGAGAAGGGCTATTCAATTAATTTGGAATTGTGGCCAGTTCATCATCCGCAGCAAAATATGGGGCTGGGGAATATAAGCAATCACGGTGTACAACAACACACCGAGTCAATATGTTCTAATTTGTAACTGCAGGACAACATATGCAAATAGATCCAAACATAGAGACTCCACAGGGTTGCCTTTCTGTACACTTGGACTGTGTCCAAGCAGTACCACAGGTTTACAGTGATGACGGATGGTGGCTGATAAGATAGTCACATACATTTCAGTGTCATTGTTGTTAATGATCCTTCTGTACCACTTCATGGAGTAAGGTCTAAATTTGTGTGTATGTAGGCATCAGATCAGGGGTGCCCAAAGTTGGTCATCTTTGGGTCTTTGTCCTGCAGGTTTCCCTGCTTCTGCACAGACCTGATAATGATAATGGTGTGTTGATGTGAATCAGGTGTGTCGAAGCAGGGAAATGTCTAAAGCCTGCAGGACAGTGGCCCAAAGAGGATCGACTTTGGTTGCCTTTCTATTTCTAACTTTGGAAGGAGGGGAATGGGAGGCTCTCACCGAGTGTCAAACCGCTTCTACCTGCTGCCTCCTTTGCCTGCTGTCTTTGTCCTGTCACATCTAGTAGCCTCTCTCTGCATTCTCCTCCTTAATCCCAAAACATATATTAACTCCACTGACCAGATCTCTTCCAGCCTGCATCTGGTCCAGAGATGTGTGTGGTTCCGGCATTGTGTTTCCCTTCTATGTGTCTTTCGGCCTGTCAGAAGATTGTAATTGGTTTGGTGGAGGAGCACAAGAAGACCCGAGACCCTGGATAGCCGAGGCACTTTGTGGACTGCTATCTGGATAAACTGGAAAAGGTTTGTGAGCAGAACAGCTGGACACAAACTCTGCCCCTCTCACAAAACTGCTCCTTCATCATTGACTTTTTATTTACTCGGAGAGGCGAAGACAGTGAACTTTCTGAGGATCAGCTCATAATAAACTCTCTGGATCTTCACTTTGCTGGGGCCGACACCACCTCCAACACCCTGCTGACTGCTTTTCTTTACCTCATGTCCAAGGTAAGTCTTTACATCCAATAAGAGATGCTTCTTTTAGTCTTTTCCCCAAATCCTCTGCCAATGTTTCTCCACCATGAGTCTGAACTTGTCAGACTCCCCTGAACAAGGGGATTTCAGAGTGGAAAACAGGTAGTGAAACACAAAAGTAGACAGAGGGCGTGCACGCACATTTTCCTGTTTTTGGTGCTGTTTATTAAGTTGGATCATGTTTCTGCTTGGCAGAGGGATTATCTGAGTAGGACCAACTTGTTCCCTCTTTGTTTCTGGGGAAGGTTTCTGGAACATTCGACCCATTTGTCGTGTCCTCATTGGATTAGAGGATGTGAAACGCGCTTTCACCCACTTTCTTATTTCTAAAGGAAAATAAAACCAAGGCTTTTGTCCCTCAGAGTGATGTCAACATGGGCTTCTGGGGAGCTGTTCCCGTCCTCATAGCTGAGGACAGGAACATCATGCCCTACAAGCAGGTAGCTGATTAGCATTCACAGCAGAAGCCTTCCTGGTGGCAAGCCCAGCTGGGGCCGTTCTGGGGGTTCGGTTCTGTCCTCCTCCCACACCGAAAAGCCTTCGTGTTCTGGGGCTGTTTGTGTCATCTGTCTTTGTGTGGCTCTGTGCTGGACACTCCATTCCCAAGGTGAAAAGAGAAGGGAAAATAAGGGAGTCTGTAAAGCTCTTTAGAATCAGAATCAGAAATCCCTTTATCCTCCTGAAAGTCCAGCTTTTATCTGGTTCTGCTGTCAAGTTTTCAAAGTAAATTCCACTAAAAAGTTTATGGATGAGAAGGGCAAAATAGACATGGTGACAATCTAAGACAGCTTCAGAAAGTTTAGTGTCTCTACCCTCTGTTTTTAAAAGGTATATCTGGAATAACTGTGAAGGACTTTGAGTCCAGTCAAACCTGAACAGATCCAGGCCAGCTGTGCCCATCAAAACCTCCTCAAAGATCAACAAAACCAGTCACTCAAACATACTATTGGGCTCATTTGTGGTTGTAAAACTAAACCTGGGAGGCAGGCTGTCCTTAGAGGCTGTCAATCCCCCTGAATGCGAATGGGCTGTGTCCAGGCCGGAGGAGGTGGGGCCAGCAGCCAAACATAGCCAGCCCTCAGCAGCCTGCAGCAGACAGACTCTCCTGCTCAGCTGGACGCTCACAGCCATGCTGGTCACTGTGCTCCTTCTTTCGTTCTGTGTTTGGGTCTTCATCCTCCAGTTCAAAACCAGAAGGCCCAAGAACTTCCCCCCAGGCCCCCCCGCCCTGCCGCTGCTGGGGAACCTTCTGCAGCTGAGCCTGGAGAACCCCCTGCAGGACTTTGAGAGGGTGAGAAAACCTGTTACTGTTTGGTCTTTGGGATCTTTAGCTTGGAGAAGCATAGCTGCAGCTACCAGGCTGAAGGACAGACTGTTTGATTAGTGAAAGCTGCAGTTAACCAGAGCCGTTCATGGGACTCTACAGAGTCCACTGCCTCAGACGGCGCACATTGGACTCTTCCAGCTTCTTGATAAGTGAATGTTTGCCAGAGGGCTTAGGGCGCAGTCCCGACCCCTTTGGTGGCCACTCTTCACAGCTGGTCGGCAAAGCTCTCTGATTGTCCCCATGTGTGTGTGGTCTTGCCTTACAAGATGAGTCAGCCAGCTTGAAAAGCCACAGCTGCATGCTCAGACATGAAGGAGGTGAAAGGTGCACCAGAGACAGGGAGGGCACGCAAGCCTCATTCATGTACGCCCAACCCAGCATGCATGGAGAGGCTTCTGTGGACAAAGACCCAGCAACGAGGCTCATTTTGTGTGGGAGAATTCATTTATTTGTGACTGACTGAAGGTTGAAATGAACCCAGCTTCTATCTAGTTCTGCTTTGTTCCAGATCTCTGGATTAGTTGGAGCTAATAAGTTTAATAACTTGATGTTGTCCTGGTACAGGTAGTTTTTCTTATCGGCTCAGTGGGTTTATCTTCAGGTTTAAAATGTCTGTTTAGATATTAAATTGAATGTTTTTCAGCTTGGTTCTGAGGGTCCAAATGACTTATTTACAATATTTTAATTCTTCAATAAGAACATGGTTGGTGTAAAATGTCTAAATCAATTTATCTATCCATTATCCTTTGATGAAATCTAAGTCTGTCTGTCTGTCTGTCCGCCCGTACAGCTGAGCAGGTCGTATGGAGACGTTTACAGTCTGTTCATTGGTCCCAAGCCGGTCGTGGTCATCCACAGGCTGAAGGCCATGAAGGAGGCCATTGTGGTGAAAGCTGCCGACTTTGCTGGACGGCCCCAGGACCTTCTGGTTAACGACGTCACCCAAAGGAAAGGTGTGGTGGAAAGCTTGTGTTTTACTTTTGACTGACAAGGGAAGGAGACAGGAATAATTGTAAAGAGCACAGAAGAGGCTCTACAGTTTTTCTACAGGGCTAAAACACCAAACTTTTTGTTTTATTTTTGACTGTGTACGGCTGCTTTTCCTGTGTCTGCAGGAGTGATCCTGGCAGATTATGGCTCCAGCTGGAGGGACCATCGGCGCTTTGCACTGACCACTCTGAGGAACTTCGGTCTGGGCAAGCAGTCAATGGAAGACAGGATCCATGAGGAGATACGCCACACTGTCCAAACACTGGAAAACAGCATCGGTGAGCTATCTGTGGGCTGATAGGCCTCCAGGGGGCAGCGCCTCATGTCTGAACCTGTTTCTCTCCTCCAGGTAAAACTATGAGTCCTCAGGTGATGTTTCACAATGCTGCCTCCAACATCATCTGCCAGGTTCTGTTTGGGAGACGCTACGAGTACCAAGACGAGACCATCAAGGTTATTGTTCGATGTTTCACCGAGAACGCAAAGATAGCCAACGGCCCCTGGGCCATGGTGAGTCCAGCATCTGTCAGAGGGAGCACATCTGGAGGCTCTCAGGAAGTGGAAGCAGTGAATCTGAGTCTTCTGGTGACATGAGAACGTCTTTCTTTCCAGCTGTACGACTCTCTTTCTTTGATCCGCCCCTTTCCTCTGCCGTTCAAAAGGGCCTTCGACAACGCTAAGGTAAAGCTCCAGTCTGGGTCCCCTGTTCCAGCTCCCCCCCAGAGGAGTCTGATCAGATTTTGTCTTTATAGTTTCCTCTCGTAGTGCATCCTATCATATATTATTGAATTCCATATCCATCAGTAATCATGTTGTATTGTATAGTATCACATCATACATAATATCATATAGTATCCAATCATATGATATATCTATCATATTCTATTGTTTCATATCATATTGTATATCACATCAAATAAAAAATTATATCAAATTGTATCATATATATATAATATCATATGATATTGTACGTCATGTCGTCATATATTAAATCATATTGTATTGTATCACATCATCTCGTATAATATCATGTACAATTTGATGTGTCTTGTTTCATATCAAATCATATTGTATTATATCATATCACCTCATCTACTGGATTATATCATATATTGTTTCATATCACATCACATATATTTTACATCTCATATCATCATATATGAAATCATATCGTATTGTATCATATCATGTAGTATCATATATAATATCAAATCGCATCATATTGTATTCTGTAACATCTTCATACATGAAATCCTATCGCATTGTTTCATGTCATATGATATCATACATTGCATTTTACAGTAACTGAAATGCTTGTTTGCATTAAACACTTTTGGTTTATTTGTTTATTTGTTTTTTTCTTTCTTTTGCAGATTTGTCAGGATATCGTGATAAAACTACTGGAGGAGCACAAGAAGAGCAAGGTTCCCGGCCAGCCTCGGGACTTTGTGGACTGCTACCTGGATGAGGCGGAGAAGGTCTGGACGCGGGCAGCATGTGGCCTTGTCTGGCTGTTTGTCTGAGGTTTCTTCCCAGTTCTCACAGGAAGGATTGCCCTTCTTTCAGAGAGGGGCGGACTCTGACTTCACAGAGGATCAGCTGGTCATGTACTCTCTGGACCTTCACTTTGCTGGGACAGACACCACCTCAAACACCCTGCTGACCGGCTTTCTGTACCTGATGAACTACCCGCACATTCAAGGTGCGTCTGCAGCCTTAAAGTTTTTATGTTCACATTCAGCTTTTTACCTTCGGACATTGAAGTGAAAAAAGAAAAAGACATAAAGTCGTCTTCCTCTGACTGATAGCAGGTAGCATTTTGCTGGACTTTTTGGTTTTTGAGCTCCAAAAATGCTTTTGCTCTCGGGAGGGTAAATGTCTTTAAACGCATCGCGGTTTTTTAGATCTGAGTCGGCTGAGGTGTTCTGTCATGTCAACAGACTGAGGAGGAAAAGTTTTGTCAGCTCTTTTTGCCTCCTGAATCGTCAGAGAGATGCCAGCAGGAGATCGATCAGGTGCTGGGGGGGCGTGACCGGCCCAGCTTCGAGGACAGGCACAACATGCCCTACATGCAGGTACGGCGTCTTCCTCTGGATTTCTCAGCTGTATCAGAACCGTTTGTCTGGATTTCCTGTTGACGCGTTTCCTGTTGATCCGACCGGCGTGCAGGCTGTGATCCACGAGGTGCAGAGGGTCGCCAACACTGTTCCTCTCAGCGTCTTTCACTGCACAACTAAAAACACAGAGCTCATGGGGTACTCCATTCCCAAGGTGAGAAGAGAAGGAAAACCAGAGCAGAGTCTGTAAAGCTCTTTAGAATAAGAAACAGAAATCACTTTATCCTCCTGAGAGCCAAAGCTTTTATTTATGCTTTGTAGTTTTTCTTCATATAGGCTCAGTGGGTTTATCTTTAGATTTAAAATGTCTGTTTAGAGATTTAATCAAATGTTTTTGCTATTTGGTTCTGAGGGTCCAAATTACTTATTTTAATTCCACAATAAGATATCAAACAGTAGTGTCTGATAGCGTGTGCTATGAAGCCAAGAGGTCAAAGGTGAAAGAAAAAAGAATCATGGTAGAGAAAGGCAGAACAGCAGCATCCTCACAGGAGAACAGGCTCTCAGGAGGGTAAAAAAAAATGGCACAGAAGTAAATGGGTAAATATTTAAAATCATGAAGCGACACCGTAAAAGAACATGTGTTAAGTCCAGGTGTTTCTGCTCTCTGTTCAGGGCACCATGATCATCCAGAACCTGAGCTCAGTGCTGGAGGAGGAGGGCCAGTGGAAGTTCCCTCATGAGTTCAACCCTGAAAACTTCCTGAATGACCAGGGAGAGTTCGTCAAACCAGAGGCCTTCATGCCTTTTTCTGCAGGTACTCAAAGGCTGCCCCCCGGGACCCCCCCCCCCCCCACACACACACACACACACACACACACAGACACACAGACAGGAAAGCCAAACCAGACTCGGTTCAGTGACTATTTAGTCTTTCAAAATGAGGGAAAAAAACACAACAAAAAACAACCTGGCTGATCCAAATAAGGGAACAACTCAAACAGTCATTTATTTCACGCTGGTGTTTTCTGGTTTGACGCATCACAAAAAGGTTCCAAAAGTGGAAATGCTGCTCCTTTAACTGTTTATTCTCAGGTTGGCAGGCAATGAAACACATTCTCTGGCTTTTTCTTTCACCTCTCCTTTCTTCCCTTCCGTCTCTGGACTTCTCTAATTGCCTCACATGTAAACCAGTAGACCGATTCACAGACAGTCTGACTGACCACTGACAGAATGACTGTCAGACTAACCAACTGTCTGGCTGGTAAGACATCAAATGACATCCAACCTGCATCCAGAACTGCCTAAATCCTACTTAGTTATGTGTGAAACACCCATATTATCCAAAACAAAATAAAAATTTAAACTAAGCCCATTCCAAACATACAAATCTATTGTAAACAACAAAAAATCAACAAAAATACTAATAAGAAATCCACCCAAAAAAGAACAAAAACTGACTTTAAAGAAAATGGCTCCTACACTGGGTCCTCTGCTCTTTCTCAGGTCCTCGGATGTGTCTGGGAGAGGGCCTGGCTCGGATGGAGCTGTTCCTCATCATGGTGACTCTGCTGAAGAGGTTTAAGTTCACCTGGCCGGAGGATGCTGGGAAACCCGACTTCGCTCCAGTCTACGGAGTCACTCTGACCCCTAAACCTTATCGCATGAAGGTCCATCTGAGGGCGGCGGAGTGAGCTGCTGGAAACAGGCCCAGATAAAAGGTTTCCCCTCAGATCTCCACAGAATCCTCTGAAAAGATCCACTCAGATCCTTGTTAAATAGACGTTCCCTGATCCGTTTATTTTCTTAGAAGACGCATGAGCAAAACATGAGCTGAAGTTTGTGTTTATTTCCTTAAACTGGCTTCTTGACATCACATAACTTTTCAGTTTTATTAAAAAAATAGATCAATTAAATAAATCAATTCCTACCTGGTGACTGAATCTCAGGCCTGTTTCTTCACTGAGCTCCACCTTTCTGAGCTTGGGTTGTTTTGTGATCTGTGGTTTGTTTTGTGTTTTTTCCTGAGAAAAGATCCTCTAAAGTAAACTGGGACCGGCCCATGTCCTGTTTCAGGGCCTCTCTGGGACACCAGCTCAGGGGGGGAAAAGCAGCCTTATGGCTGAATGGAGGTCACAGCTGTGCATACTGATGTTAGCCAGATGTTTAAAGCAGTTTTCCCAACCCTGGTCCGGCCCTGGATGTCCTCCAGGTTTGCACACCTCATTGAAATGAACGGGTCTCCATCAGCCTGAAGTCCAGGATGGAGATGTCTGAGCTCTGGCGCCCTCTGGTGGTTGGCTACGTTTAGAAGGTTCAGCTACTAAAACAAGGACACAGAACATTTCGTGCTCCAACTTTTGGCCTCCTGGAACATGTTCATGTGAGTTTGTAGGTTTTTCAGTTTGGTGCATGATGGGGAAATGTCAGAGTTTTGGTCCTGAAATGATGAAAGAGCTTCCAAGCTGACAGAAGCTTTAGGTCAGTTCACAAAGATCGGAACACAAGTGAACAGAAGAAAAAAAACACTTTATTTGTAACGTTTCAGTCACCACACAGATCAATCATATTCTCGGTTTTACAAAAAGCTACTGAAAACAATCCTGACTAAAAACAGACGGATGAAACCCAAAATCAGAGTGACACACTGGTTCTAAATGACCGTAAGGAAAAGAGAGAAGCAAAACAAAAACAAACAACTGAACTAAACAACACGTGCCGACTTTATGTTACAGGGTTTGTCAAGGGCAGGTGTAATAATTCAGAGGTCCAGTTCCAGACTGGCTAAATTGTTCACATGGGTTATCAGAGGGTCCCTAATGTTCCTAATCCAGTGATGTGATGGAGGGGTAGCAGCCTTCCACTAGGACAGAATCAAGCGTCTATCTAAAAAAGACCAAAAGGAAACGGCCCTCTGTGAATATACTTGGGGAACAGATCCCTTTGGATCAGAAAGCACAAGAAGCGTCCGAAAAAAAAGGTCTGCCTCCCCATCACTGACCCCAGCCCCTGCTCAGCCCCCTCCTCACCGCGGCTGTCACTTTGACTTGGGTGTCCATTTTGAATGGGACGCGGACTCGGGGCTGGTTCTGTTTGACTCCTCTGGGAAAACAGGGACTTTAAATAGTTGTACTGACTAAGGTTTCCCTTTGTGTGCCGCGGCCACGTGCGGGCCCCGGCAGGTTTGCAGCTTTTAAGGGAATGAACAAATGACCTGTCGGGTTGTGCTGAGCGGGCGATTTGTGGGTGAATCATCTTTATTTCACCGGGAAACATTTCAGCCTCTGATCCTCTGACTCAGCTTTGAGGCCTTTGGGGATAAAACGTAAGCGGGGAGGCTTTTAATGAAGCGATCCGCCGTTAAACCTTGACGTTTGAGCTGAAAGTTACCCTCAGATGAATCAGTCTGTGCCCCCCCTACACACACCTGTTGATGATTTAATTGTGGGGACCCTGACAGCAGAAATTCAGCCCAGCATGGAGGCAGATGTGGGCACTTTGTGCCGGGCCACAGCTGTTGTTGCGCCCACCCAGCTGCCCTTTGCCTCTGGACAGCGATGCCCCATTGAGGCTTTTGTCTGTATTGTTTGGACTGGGCTGTCTCCTGATTGTCAGCTGGGGGCCAGGGTGGGGGGGTGGGCCGGGGGGGGGGGGGGGGGGGGGGGGCTGGGCTGTGTGTCTGCTGACATGGACCTTCTCTGATGGCATTCACTTGGACGGCACCGAGCACAGCAGCAGCAGCAGGAGGGGGGGGAAAAAAAAAGCGAAAGAGGAGTCTTGGAAAAGAGGAGAATCCCGACAGGCCGCGTTCCTGAAATGGACCCGAAGAGCCTGAGGCCGACCTGGGACTGTCAGTGACATCTGGAGGGGGGCCGGGCTCCGTCATGGACTAGTTGAGGAGCGCGCACGCAAACGGGAACACACACACACACAGCATGCAGGAGTCTCCGGGAGCCGTGGGCGTGGACGGCAGCTACGCCAGCAACGTGCCCGCCTTCCTCACCAAGCTGTGGACGCTGGTGGAGGACCCAGAGACCAACCACCTGATCTGCTGGAGCGCAGTGAGTCCCAGACATGAGGCCCGGGCCTCCAGAGAGTCTGTTCTCCAGAGATGGCGCTGTGTTTCTGCCCCTCTGTACCAGGATCCTTCATTTTTTTCTTTGACCTTTGACCTCTTGGCCTCATAGCAGACGCTATCAGACACTACTGTTTGAAATCTAAAGGAAAATGCTTTATATGCAAACAGGCCAATAGGAGCAGAGCATGCTGTCCCATGTGACCTGTGAAAGGAGAGGATACTGTGTGTGATCCATTAAAATGGGGAGGAACATCTATGTGGGGAATTTTGTAGAAAATCACTAAAAATATCAGCTTTTTCGGTCTTTAGATCAAGGAAATTATTAAAATCAGCTTTTTAGGTCTTTAGATGAAGGAAAATCATTGTGTTCAAAGAGTTTAGAAATCTCAGCTTTTACTGCTTTTTTACAGTTTGAAATCTAAAGGGAAATGCTTTTAGACATTTTCCACCAATCATGTTCTTATTGTGGAATTAAAAAGTTGTAAATAAGTCATTTGGACCCTCAGAACCAAATGACAAAAACATTTAATTAAATCTATAAACAGACATTTTGAATTTGAAGATAAACCCACTGAGCCTATATGAAGGAAAACTACCTCTACCTGGACAAAGTCAGGTTATTAAACCTATCAGCTCCTTCTGATCCAGAGATCTGGAACAAAGCAGAAATAAAAGCTTCGTTCTGACCCCTGAACTCCTAAAGGGTTAATCCGCTGCTCTGGAGAAGTTTTTCAGCTCAGTTTGTGAAGTGTTGGCTAAGGCAGTTTCAGAAAGATCCCCCGTAGTTCTTTGATGATCTCCAGGACTGTTTGCTGTTTACTGACATCTGTCAGGTGTCTCCTGCCTTGCTTTGAGTTTTAGTGTCTTTTTGTCTTTATCATGTTTCTAGTTCAGGACACTCACTGCTGATCTGATCACATTTTTCTGTCTAAAAATTTTCCGTTACACCATTTTCAGCCTGACATTTTCCTCACAGTTTTGTATCTCACATTTTTCTGTCACATTTTTCTGTCTCACAAATTTCAGTCTCACATTCTTCAGTCCTACAATTTTCAGTTTCACACTTTTCAGTTTCACACTTTTCATCTTTTTCTTTCTCTCTGTTACTGGATGTGATTGAGGGAAAGCTTCATGAACCTGACCTGTAGCATCCATCTGGTCTTCTAACTGCACATGTATGTTCCTCCAAGGCCTCGTCGCCTCGTCTCTGGACTCTGAGGTTGTCCACCATGTCAGGGTGATAAATGATAAATAATACTTACAAAGGTCAAACTCACATTTTGTGGGAAAGAGTCCTCTCCTTATTTTAATGAGGGAAGCTCCAGCCTCGTTTTTTAATATTTGTTAAAGGTATTTCCATATGGGAAACACGACTCTGTGTAGGGAGTTGAGTCAGGAGATGTAGTCACTGTGTTTCTATCTGCTGAGATTTAGCCTCTAAAAGTATAAACAATCCCACTTTTTTAATTCACGTTTTATTTAACCAGGTTAGACCCGTTGTGTAGAAACAGCTTAATACATCGTAGACATCACAAAAGATAGACATGATAGACAACAATAACAAAAAACAACACGAATCCAGTCAGATCAGAGGGGAAAATCTGTTTTTCATGAAAAGCAGGAGGAAGAACCCATGAGGCTGAATTCCCAGTGATTCTGGGCCTATAAGAGGCCTAAAAGAGAGCCGGTCCTCTGAAACATGAGGGACTTTAGCCTCCCTTCCCCCTTTGGAGGGGTCTTTGGTGGGTTTGGTGGGTGCCTTTGGAGGGAGCTTCCTACTGTTAGAGTCCATCCTCCATTCGGTTTCAGACACAGTCGAGTGAGCAGAAGCTCACAAAGCTGCAGAAATGCGACTGTTTCCTTTCTTCTGCCTGCGAGATGCTTGAACTAACGGCCGGCCGGTGGCTCTGCTCCTCAGACAGGAACCAGCTTCCATGTCTTCGACCAGGGGCGCTTTGCCAAAGAGGTTCTGCCCAAGTACTTCAAGCACAACAACATGGCCAGCTTTGTGCGGCAGCTCAACATGTGTGAGTGTGGCTCCTCCTGCTGGCTTTGCCTCCTCCGGCGGGCCCTCGCTCACCTCCCGCTGTCGTTTATCTGCTGCAGACGGCTTCAGGAAGGTGGTGAACATCGAGCAGAGCGGCCTGGTGAAGCCGGAGAGGGACGACACCGAGTTCCAGCACCTGTACTTCCTGCAGGGCCACGAGCACATGCTGGAGCACATCAAGAGGAAGGTGAGAGGCCCAGCCGGGGAGGATTCAGAACTCCACCAGCCATCCCCAACAGGGAGGCTTTTAAGCCTGGTTCCCTTTTTCCTTCAACATGATGAAACTCAGATGGGACTAACAGTCAAACCTCTGAGATCAAATCTGCCCAACGCCCCCCCAAATTTAATAATATAAACTCTCAAACTGGAAAAAAGAGCTAAAAAACTAAGTCACATACTTCTATAAACAACTGAATATAATGTATATAATGTAATGTAAAAGTACCTTATTTATTAGCACTTTACAACAACACGTGTTACAAATGCTTTACAGCAAAACAAATAAACAAACAAACAAACAAATAAATAGTAAATGGATAAACTGTCTTTTGAAGCCAGAAATCTGCCCAATAAACATAAATAAAATTATAAAATAATTAAATTAATAAACAAATAAATAAATAAATAAATAAATAAATAAATAAATAAATAAATAAA